AAAAAAAAAAAAAAAAAGTCTAGAGAACCAGAGACTATAGGTGAAACGTGACTCATTACCGCACGGGCTCCTAGTGATCACTACCCGTTTCATCTGTACGTTCTGGGGGGTCTCTCTGTGTGTTCTGTGTATTTGTATTTGGTTTCTCTCACTCTTTACAAACACAAATGGTTCATTATACATTCTCTTCTGTACCTTTATTTTTGTGGAGCTCAAACTGTATCCATCTATCCAGCTCCAGCTATTTTTACTGGCTGCTTTTATTCCTCGGTCGTGGGTCTCCCTTAACCTGTCTTGCTGGTTTAAAGGGAATGTATATTTTTAAATGGATTGCTAGAAGACTATTCCAGACGTTGCAATCGCAGCGCTCCTTGTGATGGTGTTTTTAAGTGGTAAAGAAAATATTTAAAACCCGTGCCTGTAATGCACATATTCAAGTAGCAGCCAAGTAAGGGAAACAGAGGCAGGTTTGGACAAGCTGGGCAGCTCACTGGGTCTGCCCAGTGGGAGACGATGAGCCGCAGGGAGCCTGATGATCTGGTGGTTTGGGGCCAGCCTTTCCAGGGAAACTCTTCTCCCCCCAACACCCTGCCTTCCAGCCTGTGGGCCTTGGTTTATTTCTGGCAGCTCTCAGGTGGGAATCCTTCCTGTAGGCACAGACCTTTCCACACCAGCCTAGACAGGAGGATTTATGGGCAGGATTTGAGCTGTCACAGAAGTACCTTCAGGGAGGTCAGCTGGCCTCGTGGAATCCGGCCAGTGGTCAGGCCAGGTCACCCTGACCGCTTCTCCCCCCGGGCTGCCTGCCTCCCCCGAGGTCATGTTCCCGAGAGAGAATCCGGTGGCTCAGCGCTGACGTCCTGGCCCTGAGCAGCGCGTGTTCTCTGGAAGGCACCCACGGGGCATGCGGTTGGCTGATGTGTCTGCAGAATATTTTGATGAACCGCAGGCGGAAAGAAGGGTTTCCATCAGTTGATCACCAAGCCGGGCTAATCAGCGGAGTCCCTTGGAGAGAACACTGGAAGCCAGGGCAGTAAGCCTCCTTCGATGTGGGTTCCAAGACGCTCACGTGCCCAAGGCCAGGATCGGAAACCAGCACTTTTCCATGTCCCCTGTTTGCCTCTTGGAGCCTTGTCTACACACAGCTTCTGGCTGTTTTATTCTGCTGGGGTTTCCGCCCAGGGGAGGGGAGGTGAGAGAGGATGGGGCGGAGGGGAGATACTCCACTGTTGCCACGGAGGAGAGACAGGAATAGCATCCAGTTGTCAAGGAGGCGTCTCAAACCGCCCACAGGATTAGGGGTCTCTCCCCTGCTTTCTCTCTCTCTCTCTCTCTCTCTCTCTCTCACTCTCTGGGCCGTTTTGCCCTAGGGGGAGTTTGTGAAGAACATCCCCATGAACCATGGCGTGTACACGTGGCCGGATGGCAGCACCTACGAAGGAGAAGTGATCCATGGCGTGAGGCAAGGATTTGGTATGTTCAAATGTGGCACGCACCCCGTGTCCTACATCGGCCACTGGTGTCACGGCAAGAGACACGGGAAGGTGGGTGAGGCAGCCCCGGGACTCCCGTCCACTGCTAGGATGAACAAACACAGAGGGTGGGAGGTGGGGGGCTGTTGTGAAAGTAGATTCACTTTCTGTTGATTGATAGGAAATTCACATCACACGAAACGGACCGTTTTAGGGTCAGCAGTCGGCGGCATTCAGGGTACTCCCAGGGTTGGGAGACTTCCACCTCTGTCCGGCCCCACAGCATTTTCATCAACACTCCAAAATAAAACCCTGTACCTACTCGGCAGATATTCCCCACCCCAACCCCTCGGCAGGCCCCGATCCGCTTTCTGTCTTTCCGGGTTTACATAGGCTGGATGGTTCATAGGAATGGAACCCTATAGTATGTGACTGACCTTCTGTGTCTGGCTTCTTCCACTCAGCCTCATGGTTTTGAGATTCATCCATGTTGTAGGTACTTAATTCCTTTTTGTGGCGGAATAATAGTCCAGTGTATGGATGGACCACATTTTGTGTATCTGCTCATTTATCGACGGACATTTGGGCTCTCTTCATCTTTGGGCTTCTGTGAATAGCACCGCTATGAATGTGGGGGGGGGGCGTTTATTTGAGTACTTGTTTTCAGTTCTCTGGCGTATAAACCTAGGAGTGGAGCATGGGAACTGGATGTTTAACATTCTGAGGAACCTCCAAACTGTTTTCCACCGCAGCCATGCCAGCTTACTCTCTTGCCGGTGATGCACGTTACATTCACTTCTAAGCGAGGTTGCTGTTCCTGGCACTGTTGTCTGGCTTTTGTATAGGATGATAAAGTACTGCAGCCATGTTTTTGGAAAATGTTGTAAGAAAAGAAACCGTCTACCATTATACTCATCACTCTGCCCAGATCTAGACTGTTATGTGTCCATTGCATTCTCTTTTCTTTTCTTCCCCTCCCCTCAGGGTTGTGTGATTGAGCCTTAGGCTCCCGTTCGTTGGGCGTGGAACCTGCTTGGGATTCTCTCCCTCTCCCCCTCCGGGCACTCCTCCCTGTTTGTGCAAGTGCGCGCGCTCTCTCTCTCTCTTAAAAAGGGGTCGGGGGGACAGACCTTCACTTGTACGGAAGGTGATACAACTCATTGTAGGTAACAATGGAACAGGATTGTTTAGGTACTTATCACGCCTTAATGCAACACAACACTTCATTATTAGGGAGGAACTGATTTGTGACATCGCATTCTCACGTGGGGCTACCTTACCATCTTCTTGATTCCAAGACAGAAACATACGACACGTTAGGTGTCTTGCCCAAGTCGGACTTCTTCATGGTTTGGACTCCCTAAATTCATGTATTTTTAAATCTTTACCTTTAATAAACATTTGTTTTATGAGACTTGATTTTTTTAAAATGATATTATTTGTTTCAGGGCTCTATTTATTACAATCAAGAGGGTACCTCCTGGTACGAGGGGGACTGGGTATACAACATCAAAAACGGCTGGGGGATCAGATGGTAGGTATTGCCTCTGCCATGTGTGGGATACGGGTGATAAGTGTGTGGGGGCCCAAATGATTTTCACTTAGGCAACTTAAAGTGCAGAGGGGCGCCTGGGTGGCGCAGTTGGTTGAGCGTCCAGCTCTTGATTTCGGCTTGGGTCATGGTCTTGGGGTCGTGGGATCAGGCCCCACATTGGGCTCTGCACTGGGTGTGGAGCCTGCTTAAGATTTTCCCTCTCCCTCTGCCCCACCTCTCCCCCCAACTCATGCTCGCTCGCTCTCAAATAAATAACTAAAATCTAAAAAAAAAAAAAAAAGTGTAGAAATTCCGGGGAACACATTTTCTATATAAGTAGGGTGGAATACTTAAGTTCACCCCAATGTAATCTCCATAGTGATGAATATATTCTATGGAAATTTAGAGAAACATTATATTAAGTGATGTTTAATAATACAGTTTCACTTTATCACAGGTAGAAACTGTCTTTCTTTGTTCTCTATTAATCATAGATATCTATTGCTGTATGTTTTTGGAAGACTCTTTTAAAATAATGACAGTATTTTTTTTAAAGGTTTATTTACTTGACAGAGACACAGCGAGAGAGGATTTTTTTTAAAGGTTTTATTTATTTGACAGAGAGACACACAGCGAGAGAGGGAACACAAGCAGGGGGAGTGGGAGAGGGAGAAGCAGGCTTCCCGCAGAGCAGGGAGCCCGATGCGGGGCTTGATCCCAGGACCCCGGGGTCATGACCTGAGCCGAAGGCAGACGCTTAACCGACTGAGCCACCCAGGCGCCCCCATTTGCTTGATTTTAGATTGAGCTGATAGAGTCAAATATTTTACAGGTTGGAATATTTGGGGGTGAAATGTTAACTAATCATAGTATCATAAGGAGTTAATTTTAAAAGATTTAAGATACCTGCTCTTTTGTCACCTTATTAAATGATTGAGGATTTAATACAGTAGTTTATCCTACCCCTAAATGATGATTTCTACTGACCACATGCCTATCCATTGAATTTAAGAAGACTGTTTGGGCACAAGGGTTGGATTTCTTCAAAGATGTTGAGAGAAGAAGTTTAAAAGAAAGTCTTCTTAAAGATAAGTATGGTATATAAAATGACTGATTATTTTCATTTTTTTTGTCCCAGTTACAAATCTGGAAACATATATGAAGGTCAGTGGGAAAATAATATGCGCCACGGGGAAGGCAGGATGAGGTGGCTGACGGTGAATGAGGAGTACACGGGTCAGTGGGAAAAGGGCATCCAGGTATGGCGCCAACTCATGTGACCTGAACATACCCAGGTGGGGACCCTGTGGCTCCTCAGCACATGGGTCACTGCATATATCGTCCGGTAACCTAAACCTAAGCTCTGCTAATTTCAGAACCCCAGAGTATGATTTACTGGTCCCAACCACCTTTTTTTAAGTACCATTTCATCACTGAGGTTTCTCTAAAGTCTTACACACAAGTGAGGTCCTGGCCTGGGCAAATCCATAATTCCCACAGCTTGTGTGCAGAGCAAGACTGTTCTCTACCCCTTAGAAGCTATGTATTTCCCGCACAGAAAAGAAAGGCTTTATATGGTTAAATGTATGTGGTTTATTTATTTTTATTTTTTATTTTTTTTTAAGATTTTATTTATTTATTTGGCAGGGAGATAGAACAAGTAGGCAGAGTGGCAGGCAGAGGGAGAGGCAGGCTCCCCGCCGAGCAGGGAGCCCGATGCGGGGCTCGATCCCAGGATCCCGGGACCATGACCTGAGCTGAAGGCAGCTGCCCAACTGACCGAGCCACCCAGGCGCCCCTGTATGTGGTTTATATAGCTAAGATTTTCTAATAATATCTGCATAATCTAATAATATCACCTTATTCCCCATCATCTATTTCCCCCATCTCCACACTCAGTGCAGAGCCCAACATGGGGCTTGATCTCATGACCCTGAGATGATCTGAGCCCAAATCAAGAGTCGGACGCTTTCCCAACTGAGCCACCCAGGCACCCCGATCTGTTTGTTCTTGAATAAGTTTTAAGTTTGTATTTTTGAAGGAATTTGTCCATTTCATAGAAATTTATTGGCACAAGCTTGTTCATAATAGTCTCATGGTGATGCCTGGGTAGCTTGGTAGGTTGGGAATCTATCTGCCTTCAGCTGGAGTCGTGATCCCACGGACCTGGGATCAAGTCCCAAGTGGGGCTCCTTGCTCAGCGGGGAGCCTGCTTCTCCCTCTGCCTGCCACTCCCCTGCTTGTGCTCTCTCTCTGACAAATAAATAAAATCTTAAAAAAAATAACTTCTTTAAAACTCTCTCATGATTCTTTAAATATACATTATATGGGATCTATAGTGATATTCCCTCTTTCTCCCAGTACCAGTGATTTGTGTTTTCTCTTTTGTCTTCAGTCTCATTACAGGTATATCCAAGTCATGAAAATTCTCTAAGAGCCAATCTTAGTGTTATTTATTTTCTCTTGGGGTTTTTCAGTTTTTAATTTGATACCTACTCTTTGTTATTACTTTCCTTCTGCATGCTTTGGGTTTGATATTCTCTTCTTTTCCTTGAGTTGTAGGATGGAAGCTTGATTGATTTGAGACATTTCTTCTTTTCTAATATAAGCATTTAATACTAAAATTTTTCCTCTTAGGACTTTCTCTGCATCCCACTAATTCTGATAGATTTTAATTTTTGTTCAGTTCAAAATATTTTCTCTCTTTTTAAAAAGATTTCATTTATTTGAGAGAGAGCACGAGTGGGGTGAGGGTCAGAGGGAGAAGCAGACTCCCTGCTGAGCAGGGAGCCCAGCACGGGGCTCAATCCTGGGGCTCTGGGATCACGACCCGAGCCGAAAGCAGACGCTTAAGCGACTGAGCCACCCAGGCGCCCCTCAAAATATTTTCTAAGTCCCTATGACTTCCTCTTTAACCTGTAATTTATTTTGACATATGTTGTTTACTTTCCAAATAGTTGGAGATTTTTTCAGATATCTGTCTGTTGATTTTTTTAATTCTACTGTGGTTAGAGAACATACTTTGTATGACTACATTTCTTTTAAATACATTATGGTTTATTTTGTGGCCCAGAATATGGTCTCTCTTGGTGAATGTTATGTGTATTTCTGCTTTTGTTGAATGGAGTGTTCTGTGGATGCCAATTAGATCAAATTGATTGATAGTGTTGTTCAGGTCTTCTATACCACATTACTCATTTTCTGTTTATTTTTTCTACCCATTTCTGAGATAAGAGTGGTGAGGTGTCCAAGTATAATTGTAGATTCATCTATTTCTTCTTTCAAATCTATCAATTTTTGCTTCATATATTTTTAAGTTCTGTTGTTAGGTGCATACTTGTTTAGGATTGTTATGTCTTCTTGGTGGATTGACCCTTTGTTCTCATCTTGTCATGTCCCTCTTTAGCTCTGATAGTTTCTTTTCCTCTGAAGTCTTTTTCTGATGTGAATATAGCCACTCCAGCTTTCTTTTTTCTTTTTAATTTTAATTCTGGTAAAATACACGTAACAAAAAATTTACCATCTTAATCATGTTTAAGTGTCCAATTCAGGGCATTAAGCACCTTCACACTGTTGTGCAGCCATCCCCAACATCCTTCTCCAGAACTCTTTTCATCTTCCCAAACGGAGACACTGTCCCCATCAAACACTCACTTCCCATCTCTCTTCCCCCTTTCCCCACCCCTGGCACCCACCATCTACTTTCTGTCCCTATGAATCTGACTCCTCTCGGTATCTCATATAAGTGGAATTGAATAGTATTTGTCCTTTTGCAACTGGTTTATTTCACTCAGCATAATGTCTTCAAGGTTCATCCATCTTATAGGATGTGTTAGGATTTCCTTCCTGTTTAAGGCTGAATAATATTCCCATTGTATGTTTATACCATCCTTATGCTTATTCATTCATCCATCGATGGACACCTGGGTTGCTTCCACCTTTTGGTTATTGCAAGTAATGCTGCTATGAACATGAGTGCACAAATATTTGTTTGAGTCCCCGTTTTCAATTCTTTTTAGCATATACCCAGAAGTTCTAGATATACAGAGTCATCCCATTGTTGAAAAAATTGTGTGTTTATATGTGTTATATGTACATATAATATGTTAATTTAGTGCGTCTAATTGAATATGCCTGGGGAAAATACAGATGAATTCTCAGACTCTCAAGTAGTGGTTGCCTCTGCAAAAGTGGGATTGAAGAGGGCATTTTTCTTTTTTATCAATCCAGATGTTAAAAATAAATAAAATTTGGGGCACCTGGGTGGCTCAGTTGGTTAAGCGACTGCCTTCGGCTCAGGTCATGATCCTGGAGTCCCAGGATCAAGTCCCGCATCGGGCTCCCTGCTCGGCGGGGAGTCTGCTTCTCCCTCTGACCTTCCCCCCTCTCATGTACTCTCTCTCTCTCATTCTCTCTCTCAAATAAATAAATAAAATCTTTAAAAAAAATAAATAAAATTTAAGGTAATAATTTATCAGTATCAAGCTAGGCACTTTTTTTTTTTTTAAAGATTTTATTTATTTATTCATGAGAGACAGAGGAGGAGAGAGAGAGAGAGAGAAGCAGAGGGAGAAGCAGGCTCCCAAGGAGCAGGGAGCCCGATGCGGGACTCGATCCCAGGACCCTGGGATCATGACCTGAGCCGAAGGCAGACGCTTAACCATCTGAGCCACCCAGGCGCCCAAGCTAGGCACTTTTTATACACTATCTTCAGTCTTTACATCCAACCTGCAGGATAGGTGTTATTTTCATTTTATAGATGAAACCCAGAGGGCTTAAATAATTTGCCTTAGGTCAAATGGTTAGTTAGTAAGTAGATGGCACAGAGGCCGAACCCAAGTCTGTGTGACTCTAAAATCCATGTTCTTTGTCCTTTCAAATGTGTCATTGTATTTGATCTATTGACTGAGTTTTATTTTAATTTAAAAGATTTTTATTTATTTGAGAGCGGAAGGGAAAAAGCACAAGAGGGGGGGAGGGAGAGGGACAAGCAGACTCCATGCTGAGCGCAGAGCCTGATGCAGGGCTCCATCTCAGGACCCTGAGATCGTGACCTGAGCCAAAATCAAGAGTCAGAGGCTTAACCGACTGAGCCACCCAGCTGCCCCTATTGACCAAATTTTAAATGGAGTCAGGTAAAAAGAGGAAATATTTTGAGCATTTCTCATGGAAATTTGCTTTCTTTTCAGAATGGTTTTGGAACACACTCCTGGTTTCTAAAGAGAATCCCCAACTCCCAATACCCTTTGAGAAATGAATACATAGGAGAGTTTGTAAATGGATATCGTCATGGCCATGGAAAATTTTACTATGCCAGTGGAGCTGTTTATGAGGGAGAATGGGTCTCCAATAAAAAACATGGTATGGTGAGTGCAGATGTGCAAAGAGCACATTTTATAGATTTTTGTAAAGCAACTGAAATACCATAAAAGGCATGTCATTCTCTGTCTGGTAAAGTGCACAGTCGATTTTTGCACCCGATAACTTACTGTTTTGTTAAGATGATTACAGGAATTTTAAAATAATTTCCAACATATCATCAGTATCCTGTATATTTAGAAGTTATTTACTTAGTTTATGTTACGTACATACGTGTGTGTGTATTAGGGTGGTTTTGGTCACAAGTAATGGAAAATCTAGCTTAATCATCCACAACTGATAAAGAATAAGTGGGTTTCAGGGTTGGTTTGATTCAGCAACTCAGTGATGTCAGGAGTTTTCTTCCATCTACTCATGATGTCTCCTACCATGATGTCAGCTTCACCCTTATGCTGCCCCTCCCTCATGACCACAAGATGGATGCTGTGGTTCCAGGCTTCACATCCACATACCACACTAAGTAGAGGGAGAGAAGAAACTCTTTTCTGAGAAGCTTTCCACAAATATCTTTAATTTGGCTGAGCTGACTTGGGTCATTTACTTACCTCTCCATCAGACTGATTATTGGCTTGGGTTGGACAAATACCAAGAGAGCCCCTATTTGGTGATGCTCACTCTGCTGGTCACTAGCGTAGTTTAATAAGACATCTTCTGTGACCTAGGGGTAGCTGGGGAGAGGTCGTGGAGCCGATAGAGGAGGAGGAAGAAGAGAGAGGATTTACACAGTGACTTGAGACTCTAGGAGCGAGACTCTATGTGAGCTAAGTGCATGTCTTAGAAACAAACAAAAACCTCCAAACCCTTGAAAATGGTACAGATGGAGATTACCAGTGGTTTTCCCGAACTGTAAATCTTTCTGTCTGCAGGGCCGATTAACTTTCAAAAATGGGCGTGTGTATGATGGCTCCTTTTCCAATGACCACATAGTGGAGTTTCCAAATCTTGAAGTTGAGTTCTTAAGTCACCTGGACCTGTGTTCAGACTCTCCCTTCAAGAGCCGGTACCCTGCATCCTCCATCAGTGCTGGTAAGGGGGTGTGCACCTGTCAGTTGCACGCAAATTAGCTTCTATTATCAATGGAATCTACTCATCAAAATACAAAGACTACTTCAGAAAACAGAAGTTTCCTGGGGGAAACTGCTTTCTTAGTAGGTTTTTTGAATACTCTTATATCCCACTGGGGTGGAAAATCATTTCTGCATAACACTGAAAAAAATTTTTTTAACTTCCAAAAGCATTTTCTTTTCTTTTCCCCAAATCATTGTAATTTGCTAGTTGAAATGGTAACATTGACAACTTTTAACATTGCTTTTCACAATGATCCTCTCTATTTGCCTTTATTTGCTAGAGATTATCAGAAAGCTTGATGGCAGTGAGAGTAATTCTGTGTTAGGGTCGAGCATTGAGCTGAATCTCAGTTTGTTGCTGAATATGTACCCTGAGAAAGATCAAGCAGAGGAAAAGAAGCAGGTAAAAACCTTTCATATTGTTATACATTTATATTTTAGGCTTAAATATTAACAGAGTCTCCACAGTCTTGGGAAAATCCAGCCGATGGGGGGCTGTCCTGTGTTGAGTGTCTTTTATAAGCCACATAGATGGTTTGTATACCCTCCCATTTAATTTGCAAGGCAACCCTAGTGAACAGGCTTTGTGAGAAAACAGAAGCCCAGATAGAGGGACTCAGTGAATTAACTAAATTCAAGTTACCCTCACTCCCAGCTTGGTCTGAAGCCCAAGGCTGTGGCCACCCCAACTACAGGACATTAATTCTGCAGTGCATTATTATGGGCTGCTGGGATTCCAAAGAACTTCAGACTCCTAGAAATCAGTACAAATCTAGAAATCCTTAGAGACAGAGAAAATGATCTGTACCCAGACTTCATTTGATTAACATCTGGAAAATCACATCCACCAAATTACACGTTAGTGTCGTGAACCCTGCTTTGACTGGGGATCGGTATGATTCTCCCATGAAAGCATTGTTGAAGATGTGGCTTGCAACAGGAGAACCACTGGTACCTCGAAGTTGCAAGGCATGTGCCCCTTTGCTCTTCCTCTATTCCATCTTCTCTGGCCCCAGTTCTGTGGGTCTCGAAAGTGATGACTGTCCATCCCCCAACCTCCTCTATTCTTCTCCTGGCCAACGATGTCATTCAGGCTCCTGGGATCACTCACTTCATCTGCTGCCAGATTCTTGTTAAAAAAAAAAAAAAAAAAAAAGAACTTCTATGACTTTCTCTGGTTAGGAAAATAGTACATGATACTTGTAGAAAATTTAGAAAATGCACATAAGAAAAAGTAGAAGAGAATCTCCACCCAGACCAAATCTGGTGACCATCTTTCCCGTTTTGTTCTGGGCAAACATAATTAGAATTGGAGCATTCTGCTCATATAATCTCTGTTTTTGTGTATTTAATCACAGGTCTTCAGTGCCATTAAATATTCTCCTACAATATAATTTTTAGGTGAATAAATAACCATGCATTGAATCACCCAAAAAGGAGGGATATTCTTATCGCCTTTCTTTTCTTTTCTTTTTTTTCCTTTCTTTTCTTCCTTTCTTCCTTCCTCTCCTTTCCTTTCCTTTTTCCTTTCCTTTTTCCTTTCCTTTCCTTCCCTCCTTCCCTCCCTCCCTCCCTTCCTCTCTCTCTTTCTTTTTTTACATACATTATTCACTTTCCACTTTGGAGTTCTTTCCATGTCAAAACAGGTAGGTCTTTAAAAAACTATGAATTTAAAAATATATCTTGACTGGGGCGCCTGGGTGGCTCAGTTGGTTGAGCGGCTGCCTTCGGCTCAGGTCATGATCCCGGAGTCCCAGGATCGAGTCCCGCATCGGGCTCCCCGCTCAGTGGGGAGTCTGCTTCTCCCTCTGACCTTATCCCCTCTCCTGCTCTCTCTCACTCTAATAAATATGTAAAATCTTAAATATATATATATATATATATCTTGACTGTTTTAATTACAAAAGTAGCACATGCTCTTTACAGAAAATTCAAACATTACAGAACTAGGACCTAGAAAGTAAAAGAAATTCTGTAACTCGACACTTTAGAAACGCCTCTAAACATGTTTAATGGCTACGTGGTATTTCACAATATGGACAATATTACCATTTAGTTAGAGAAACTTCCATTTTTTTTCTAACCCTTTGAGAGGACTTCAGAATCCCAGAAGAGCGGCTTGAGCCCGGGTTTCTGCACCCCTGTCACTGGCTACTCCGCACGTGAGCATCTCCCATGGCCACAGAACAGAGACCAAAGCCGAGACTCAGGCCTCACTGACCCACTGACACGAAGCAGTGGACTTTATTTGAATTTCACTTTTCCTCACAGTGCCCCTTTTTCTGTCCCAGGATCCTACCCAGGACCCCATACTGCATGTGGCGGTCACATCTCTCTAACCTCCTCTGTCTGTGATGGAGCCTCCACCTTCCATGGTCCTTCATGACTTCCAGACTTCGGAAGGGTCCTGGGGGGCTCTGGAAAGCTCCATTGGCCATCTAGCTCTATCCCATTCCATGCCGATGGGAGCTGTTTGTATGCAGGACCTCCTAGGACCTGACATCAGCCTGTCTTGCCAGCCTGCCCCTAGCAGCCTCCTCCTCCTTAGCGTGCAGTCTTGTGACAATAATGGCCAGCACATGCGCACAAAGCACTTTGCTCTGGGCCTGTTTCCAAACGCCTTAATTTTGCTAAATCCCCCAACAGCCTAGGGGCCAGAACTGTGGTTGTCCCACTTTGCCCAGGAGGGAGCTGGGGTGGAGCACGGAGACAGCCTTTATCCAGGTCAGACAGCCCTCCTGGCATTCCAGAAGCATCTCAGCCTCTCCGCTCCCCCACCCCAACCTCCACTGGGGGGTCTGCTGTCCGTGAATTGCTCATTTGTTCTGTGCTCCAAGGCTGAGTTCAAGTACAGCATCCTCCAGGGAACTTCTTCCTTGTAACCCACCTCTCCTTCCTCCACGGCTCTGTTCTACCTCTGGTACTTCCTTATGGTGTCTTTACCAGGTTTTAAGCTTCATGAAGAAAATTCTGCATTCTACTCTAGAACAAGGCTTTAGATAGAGCTGATTAGGCATGTTTATCCAATCGAATTGAATTTTAGAAAGTAGGAGTTAATGCTAAGAGGGACAGATGCCTGATGCAACTGCCCAGGTGAGATTTTCCATCTCCTTGGGGACCCCAAACACCGTTGCTCACATTTCCTGAATATTTCATTTGGGAGGGTGAGGCACGGGGTAAGTGGTTTTGGAGGACAGGACACTGCATATCCTGCAGGGTTGCACATTTGGGGAAGTGGAGATAGCATTCAGGGCATTGAGGGTTGGGGAGAATTATAGAAGGTGATTGAGGACAGAGTCGGAGCTTAGTAACGAGTGTGAGTATTGTATTTCAGACTTTAAGCAGGAAGTCTGATGTCAGTTGTATGTTTTAAATCAACAAAGCCTGGGGCACCTCAGTCAGTTAAGTGTCTGACTCTTGATCTCAGCTCTGGTCTTGATCTCACGGTCATGAGTTTGAGCCCCACATTGGGCTCCACACTGGGCAAGGACCCTTCTAAACAAACAAACAAACAAACAAACAAAGGGCCAAGGCTGGTTGAACCAGCCTTGCAATCTCAGAATAAACCCTACTTGGTGTGGACATACTACTTTATATATTGCTAGATTTCTTTTTTTTTTTTAAGGTTTTATTTATTTATTTGACAGAGAGAGACACAGCAAGAGAGGGAACACAAACAGGGGGAGTGGGAGAGGGAGAAGCAGGCTTCCCGCCGAGCAGGGAGCCTGATGTGGGGCTCGATCCCAGGACCCCGAGACCACGACCTGAGCCGAAGGCAGACGCTCAACGACTGAGCCACCCAGGCGCCCCTATATTGCTAGATTTCATATACTCCTATTTTGGTGAGGATTTTTGTGTTTGTCTTTATGAAAGATACTGATCCGTGGTTGAGAGAATTGATTGCTGCCCATTCAAATAGGATGCTATCACATAGCATATGTGATACACAGCAGTATGAAAGCAATTTCATTGTACTGATAACAGCACTTTTTTTTTTTTTGGTAACAGCAAATTTTTAAATGTTATTCAGAAATTACATTTTATTGACCTGGGGTTGAGTGGGAAGAATATGACATTTGTTGAGCTCATACAGTGGGTAAGAGGTAAATGCTATTACATCACATGTGTTATTGCATTTAATTTACAAAATGGGTGTTGTTTCTTTTACTTTTGTTCTAATTAGGCAAGATTAAGACATGCGTGGTTTTCTCTTTGTAGGTAGAATATGCTGTCTTAAGAAATATTACAGAATTGAGAAGAATCTATAGCTTTTACAGCAGCCTAGGATGTGATCACTCTCTGGATAACACCTTTCTGATGACAAAGCTTCACTTCTGGAGGTTTCTAAAAGACTGCAAATTTCATCACCATAAAATAACTCTTGCTGATATGGACAGGATATTAAGTAGTGAGTATTCCAGGTCCTTTGTATCTTTCAGTTTATTATTTTTTTAAGATTTATTTGTTTGAGAGAGAGAGAGAGCATGTGCATGAGTGCGGGTGAGGGGCAGAGGAGGGGGAGAGGCAGACTCCCCGCTGAGCAGGGAGCCCGATGCGGGGCTTGATCCCAGGACCCCGAGACCATGACTTGAGCCAAAGTCAGATGCTTAACTGACTGAGCCACCCAGGCGCCCCAACATCCTTTGGTTTAAAGAGTAGTATAATATCATGTCACCATGAAACCATTCAAGAAATGGGGAGGGAGTGAGGAAGGCAAATTCTGGGACAGACATTCCAGAAATCAACACAGGTTCATCTTCTCAAGGTGCTTAAAATGTCCTGGAGACAATCCCGTAAAATAATGGCAGCAGTGAAAGACCATCTGTAGCAGGCCCTGTGGGCCGAATGCAGCCCCCAGTCTGTTCTTATAAATAAAGTTTTATTGGAACACAGCCATGCCCATTTTCTCATGCACTGTCTGTGGCTATTTTTGCCCTAGACACCAGAACTGAGGGGTTGTGACAGAGACCGTGTGGCCTACAAAGCATAAGATATGTGTTGCTGGCTCTCGACAGAGAAATTTGCCTGCCCCTGATCTATCAAACCCGCTAAAACTGTGAGATCAGAAGCCAAGAGGATCAGGGAGGGCTTGGCATAGCTGAGAAAACACTTGAGGCTGTCTTGGGCTTGGGCTTGATTTCAAGTGAGAAAGTTCATGCAATTTTGAAGGTTTTAGTTCTTTCAGCTGAACTCTGGGAAGCAGGCCTTGAAAACTTTAGATTATCTACTTGAAACACAAAATATTAGAACTAGTACCTATTCACCTGAAATTTAAGTGTTTGACACAGACTTAGAATTCATTTAGAATTAGAATCATCAATCAAATGAGGCTCAGGCCACCTTGAAAAACACTGGCACAAGGTATCTTGTACATTTCTTGAAAGGTGACCAGATCGAGATCTTTTGAGCAGACTAAACCTAAACTAAAACTAAAACCTAAGTTTTAGGTGGATGTGTATACGATGTTCACAGTATTCTCTAGGGGAAAAAAAGATACTCACTCATACTCAGTTCTTTGAATTGTATACCAGGAGCACATAAAATAGAAGGTTTTAGAAAATACTAGGCATCAAGAATGAAATCTTGATCTGAAACTAATAAGATATTATATGTTAATTAATTGAATTTAAATTAAAAAATAAGAATGAAATTGTGGTATGTTAAAAATATGGTATTAGGGACGCCTGGGTGGCTCAGTCGTTAAGCGTCTGCCTTCGGCTCAGGTCATGATCTTGGGGTCCTGGAATCGAGTCCCACATCGGGCTCCTTGCTCAGTGAGGAGCCTGCTTCTCCCTCTCCCTCTGCTGCTCCTCCTGCTTATGCTCTCTCTCTCTGACAAATAAATAAAAATTGGGCGCCTGGGTGGCTCAGTTGGTTAAGCGACTGCCTTTGGCTCAGGTCATGATCCTGGAGTCCCGGGATCGAGTCCCGCATCGGGCTCCCTGCTCAGCAGGGAGTCTGCTTCTCCCTCTGACCCTCTCCCCTCTCATGCTCTCTCTCTATCTCATTCTCTCTCTCAAATAAATAAATAAAAACTTAAAAAAAAACAAATAAAAATCTTTTAAAAAAATATGGTATTATATGTGAACATTGTAAGAGGGTAAACCTTAAGAAGTCCTTATCACAAGAATAAAAGAGAAATTTTTTAAAAAAGATTTTATTTATTTGACAGAGAGAGACAGCGAGAGAGGGAACACAAGCAGGGGGAGTGGGAGAGGGAGAAGCAGGCTCCCGCTGAGCAAGGAACCCGATGCGGGGCTTGATCCCAGGACCCCGGGATCATGACCTGAGCCGAAGGCAGGCGCTTAACGATTGAGCCACCCAGGCGCCCCTATAAGAGAAATTTTTGTAACTGTGTAGGTGAACAATGTCAATGAGACTTATTGTGGCGGTCATTTTGCAACATATAGTGAATCCTGTTGCACACTTGAAACTAATACAACATTATATGTCAATTATACCTCAATTAAAAAAGTTACTAGGCATCCTTTCCAATTTTCTTTACTTTAGCCTATAGTGACACTCCAGTTGAAGAAATTCATTCTCCATTTACAACAATACTTCTGAGAACATTTCTGAATTATCTCCTGCAGTTGGCTTACCACATCCATCATAAAGAATACCAGTAAGTACTACTTCCGGGGCACTTAGAGGGTGAGGCAGAGTTCACCAATGCTGTAGTCACAGTGGTAACTTTTCTGCTTTCCTTCAACGGGCATTATCACTTTACATACTTCTGAAGAGAAGGCCCAGAAACAAAAACATTTCCCAAATATTAACCACAAAACCATGAGATATTGGATTAAAATTCGGAAGACCCCTCAGATGTGAGTCATGTTTCCATACTGAATAGTGTTCTCAGAGTTGTGATCGGAAATGGTCAACACCAACCCTTCCTTAGGGCAGAATCTCCTGTCTTTCTCAGAGAAAAATTGATACTACATCTTTTTTTAAAAAAAAACTTTTAATTTTGTAATAAATTTAGTTTTACAGAAGTGTTGCCATGTTAGTACAGTGATTCCTATATACCCGTCACTCAGCTTCCCTTAACAATCTTACACAACCGTGGTGCACTTATCAAAATGAAGAAATGAACGTTGGTATAATACTCTTACCGAAATCACAGACTTTATTAGGGTTTCCCAAGTTTTCCCACTGATGTCCCTCTTCTGTTCCATGTTCTTTGTGTTTCGTTGTCCCACCTCCTTAGTTCCTACAACCTCTGATAGTTTCTCGGATTTCGTCTTTTATGGCCTTGACGCTTTGGAAGACCATTGATCACTTACTTTGTAAAATGTCCCTTGACTGTTGTCTGCTGATGTGTTTTCATCATTGCACTGAGGCTTGGGTTTTGGGGAAGAATACATGGAGGCGAACTGCCCTTGGCATCCCATCCCGTCAGGAGTACGTGACATTAGACTGTCTCATTACCGGTTATGCTAACCCCGATCGCTCGTTTAAAGTGGTGGCAGCCAGGATTCTCTACCGTAAACATACTACTTCTCCCTTTCTGTGCTCTCATCATTCGAAGCAAACTACTAAGTCCACTCCACACTCAGGGAGAGGAGAATGAGGTTCTCCCTCCCGGACAGAGGGGTGACTAGATCTGTCTTTGCAGAAACAGAAGCCCATCGCTCTTTCTGTGTTTTACCAAACTCATGACTGAGAACATTCACCCAAATGCCTGCCGTGTAAAAGGTAAATACAAAACCAACAGCATTATATTTATTATCATTTTTTCTCCAAAATGTAGCTTTGTAATCATTTTTTGATGGTTTATCTTTCCCTAATGTCTTTAGGCAGTTTATTCAGTGGGCAGCAGTGGACGCTCTATTCCATGAATTACATTGACAAATGCTGGGAGATTTATACAGTTTACTGCAGACCACACACAGCTCCTCCCCACGAGCCTTCCATGAAGATGCGACACTTCCTCTGGATGTTGAAAGTAACCACTTGTGACTGAGACTGGTTTTATATTAATAAGAATTTTGACTTTTTTTTTTTTTTTGAGAGAGAGCACATGCGCATGAGTCAGGGGAGGGGTGGAGGGAGAGGGAGAGAAGGAATCTCAAACAGGCTCCTCCCTCAGCATGGAGCCCAACTCAGGGCTCAATCTCATGACCCTGAGATCATGACCTGAGCTGAAATCAAGAGACAGACACTTAACTGAGCCACTCAGGTGCACTGGCATTTTGGTTTTCATTAAAGGGAGTATTCTAGCAATGGTACACAAATAATGAGGTGAAGATCTGGGATGGATTTTCATAGCAGTTGAATGTTTGCTGAGCATCTTTGGGCAGAAGCGAGTAATTCCAGGATCTGTGACAGACCTGAGGCAGAGGGAGCACTGGCTCCATGTGTTTCCCAGTGAGGGGAGGGGCATGGGTGGCCACAGGGCCTTTGCTAAGCAGACCTTGCGGTATAAGAGAAGATGGGGTCAGGAGAGGGGGGGAAGTGAATGTCATTTAAAAAAATGTTCATCAAAAAGTAGTTTAAAGAAGTTATTAGTTTATAAAATAGTGAGGACATCTAATTCATACACTATTCTTGTACTAACTATTGGCAGTTTTTGTTTTAATTTATACCTGTGGGAAGATAAATGAGAAAATGAGAAGAGTCAAATACTAATAGGGAATAGAGTGTTTTAAAAAAGTCTAACAGTGTCGTATGTGTACGGAAAACAGTCACCTAGTGTCTATTACAGGAAAATAGCTTGTTAGAAGTGTGTGAGCTTTGGGGGAGGAGTATTGTACAGCCGTTTATTTGTTCACTTTTCCCCTTTCTTCATGGCCTCTTATTGAAGAGACGAGGTCCTCTGTCCCCCTCGATGGGTCAGACTTCCGGTTCGGGCTGGTGGCATCCTCCCAGGGTTCATTACCATGTTCTTCTTTTCTTTTCTTTTTTTTTTTTTTTAAGATTTTACTTATTTATTTGACAGAGAGAGACACAGCGAGAAGGCGAACACAAGCAGGGGGAGTGGGAGAGGGAGAAGCCGGCTTCCCGCTGAGCAGGGAGCCCGACCCGGGGCTTGATCCCAGGACCCTGGGATCATGACCTGAGCTGAAGGCAGATACTTAACGACTGAGCCACCCAGGTGCCCCACCATGTTCTTCTTTTCCCGGTATCTCTACTAACACAGTACAGTTAGAGGCTTGTTTGGATTCCGGGTTTCTTTCCCTGACAAAGCCACAGGTGGTTCTGTGTATTTCTGTTGCATCACCTCAGGAATGTTCCCGTTTAGGGATGTTGAGATGGACCAGCAGGTTCACGTGGAGTCAGCACGATCCCTCCATTAGAACATATGAGCCTGGTTTGCACGGTGCTTAGGAGAGAGCGGAGGGCGGGCCAGCACGGAGCCCCCCCCCCCCCCCCCCCGCCATGAGGTGCGCGTTCACCTAATCCTTGTTTTCAGCAGCGCTAACTTAGGGGAGACTGTGTGTCCTGGGCCGAACGCTCTCTGGTTCAGTATCTCTGGGAGCAAACCTTCTGTTTGCAGCTTTGATGCGGACAGGGTCTTCTCAGCGAGTCTTCCTGTGTTCAGCCCTCCCTGGAGGGTCACTTCCAGAGGGGCCTCCTTCCTGAGGGCCTACAGCACCCTGACTCCCTGAGGCCCCCAGTCCAGCGTTTCCCCACCTGTGCAGTTGGGTTGATATCTCACACCTGGGTCATCCACTCTCCCAAGCCCTGTGTCCTGTGTTTATGTCTCTAAAGACACTTTTCTTTTTAGAGGGATGGGGGAAGGTCTAGAGAGGTAACTATCAATGTTAATGTAGAATGCTTTTCAAAAGGATCAGTTTCAAAGACATTTCTAGAACATCTCCTTAAAGGGTTATATGGATATAAATTAACATTAAAAATAGGTAGCTATTGGGCGCCTGGGTGGCTCAGATGGTTGAGCGTCTGCCTTCGGCTCAGGTCATGATCCCAGAGTCCTGGGATTGAGTCCCGCATCGGGCTCCCTGCTCCTTGGGAGCCGGCTTCTCCCTCTGCCTCTCTCTCTCTCTGTCTCTCATGAATAAATAAATAAAATCTTAAAAAAAAAATAGGTAGCTATTTAGGGGTGCCTGGGTGGCTCAGCCAGTTATGCATCTGCCTTTGGCTCAGGTCATGATCTCAGGGTCCTGGGATCAAGCCCTGAGTGGGGCTCCCTGCTCCATGGGGAGCCTGCTTCTCCCTCTCCTGCTCCCCCTGCTTGTGCTCGTGCTCTCTCAAATAAATAAAAATAAATAAAATCTTTAAAAAATGTAGCTATTTGTAATTATAGGCCATTATGGTTTAATTGGTTGTTTCTTTTGCAGGACTTTAAAATGATAAATAAAGAATTAACAGCAACCAAGTTTGTGGAGGTCATTGCAGAGGATAATCCTTTCATACATGACGGCGTTGACAGCAACTTTGAACTCGAGGTTTGTAAAGAGGTGTCACAAATAGTGCAGATACAAGTTGGGCTGTTTTGCCTTGGCTACCGAGAACCACGATTTGACCGAAAGGCATTCTAACCCCAGGACGTGACTGTGTATGTCTGTATGCGCGTGTTCCTGTGTGGGCCCCCCCCCCTGTGTCTCCTTGATCGTATTAGAAAACAGTCAGAAATCCAGGTATAACTTTGACCCCCCCCGTACTTCACTACTCAGCCTGCCATGGACTGAAAGCCTTCCCGATAACATAAATAGGCGACTAACACACCTGCTGTCTTACATAGTGTTCTCTTACAATAAAGTCAGCTAGAGAAAAGAAAACATTAAGAACATTGTAAGAAAAATACATTTACAGCACTCTCCTGTACGTGTGGAGAAAAACCTGCACGTCAGCGGCCCCACGCAGTTCATACCCGCCTTGTTCAAGGGTCAGCTGCCCGACGCTATTTCTTGGATAATTGAGCGATTTAATACACGCGTCTGTTTCTCTGGCTGACTTGTCCTAAGCCTGCCAGACACACTGTCATCTCCTCCAGTGAATTAGCCTGCATGTCTTCACTTTTCAGCGTGCCTTGCCGAGGGGCTCTGGGCAAGTCGGCCAGCCCAGGCTCAGTCTTTTCTTCTGTACACGGAAGCGGGGCAACCAGTTGATCCCTCGGTTTTTAGTATCCGCCATACCTCCCGATTTCCCCTCCCCAGGAGTCTGCTCCCTGTCCCCGTGCATTTGCCTCTTCTGGAGAGGTCCTAAAGATGGGATCTGTGTGGCTCCCCCTGCTCGGCTAAAACCGTTTGCGTTCAGGTCACCAGTGACCCCATGATGACCCGCCCAGGGGGCCCTGCCATGGGGCCTGAAATGCTGCCTCTGCCACCTCAAACACGTTCTTCCCTCTGGGTCCCTGGTCTTCCACTTCCCTCACTGCTGGTGCCCTCCGACTTTTGGCTGATTGCTCCTCTCTGTCACACCCGCCCTGTCCAAGTGCCATAGACTCAGGCCGGGGTCCCCTTCTCTAGCTGTGCTCACCCCTTGTCTCATAATCTCAAATGCCACCTTTCTGAGGACAAGGCCAGCGTTTGTATCTCCGACCCCAATCATGCTCTTCAGCTCCCGGCGGCCTAGCCAGAGTGGCCCCTCGGGTTTCGAACAGCCCAGAATGTCCCACACCCCAGACTGCACTTGTGACCTCCATCCCCCGCCTGCGTACCTCGGCCTCCCGTGCGTGGAGTGTGGATGGCACCCCACCCTTCGGTTGTGAGGGCCCCACATTCAGATCTTCAGGACATCCTATTGGCTCCACCTTCAAAGTATTTTCTAGAATGTGGTACCTCCCACCAGCTGCACTGCTTCCACCCCGGCCAAGCCACCAACTGTCACCTAGAAAGCTGCTTACTCACCCTCCTGATGCGTCCCTTACCCTCCTTCCCAGGGCAGCCGCCAGGTCACGCCACTCCCCTGCTCACACCCCCAGGCTTCCCATCCCACTCAGAGAAAAGGCCCTCATGACACGGGTGGCGCCACCTTTCTGAGTCCTTGTCTGACCACTGAGTCACACCTGCCTCCACGCTGTCCCCGGAACACACCTGTCACGCTCCTATCTCAGAACATTTGAACTTGCTGTGCCCCACTCTGCTATTTTTGGGGGGACTTAAATAACAGAAATGTAAGAGGAGTAGGAATGGTGTGAGCAGAAGAGCTAAGAAGAAAACAAAACTCTTCTTGTTGCAGGTCATGCTTCCAAAGTGGATGTTTGGTGTCACCTCAAGTGACAATAGGTGTCTACGTAGGGGAAGGGACCCACTGACCTGTGCTTTTACTTAACAGCTACAAATCCCAGCCACTAAGGATTCAACACATGGGATGACAGGCACTTTACAGCGGGATCTCATCGGATCCTCATGACAAAGTATGTGGTGCTGACCGCATCTTACTGGTGGAGAAACTGATGCTCAGTGTGATTCAACGAGAAAATGGCAAAATCTCTGGAGGAGGGGGCTGCCATATGGGTAGGACACTTTGGGAACTTGGCAGGTAGTGAGTGTTAGGTAGGGTCATAGGAAGAGTCAAATTTGGGCACAAGAAACTAAGTGTCCTACCTTTGAACTAAGCAAATGTCTCATTTACCAGCTTGGGACCCATCTTTGGGCAGGTGTCAGCAAACTGTTAGCCTAGGGGACACGGGCTGCAGGGATGCTAAGCAGATCCCTGGGCAGCAGGTGGAGGCTGGCCTGGCGCCTCCGCTCAAATCAGCGAGCCTGTTCCAGCTCAGACTCAAAGGGCTCTGGGTTCAGGACCAACAGACATGACAGGTGGATGATCAAAGTCCAAGCGAGCTGTCCTCCCATGCAGGTGCGGCCCAGGTGGAGGCAGGTCTGTGCGTCAGGTGCACACACAGCAGGGAGGGGCATGGCTGCCAAGTGGGTAACTCCTGAACTTGTCACTTGGGTTCACAGATGCGTTCACTTCTCTTAAGTTGTTCAAGAAAAAGGGAAACCCTTTTGAAAATGTCCTCAATTAGCTAATATAAAATAAAATGTTTCCATCAAAATAGAAAAATGTTCTAATAAGAGAACACACATAATCTTTTAAATGTAGTTTTTGTTTCAAATTGGGTGTGTACCCATGATGCTTGAGCGTTGAATGAGGTGGCATTGTCTGGAGACAGAGACCAACACCCAGTTGAATCACTGGTCCACCTGAGGGTATGTCAAAATGAGTAAGACCCTTTATATTTTATGTTTCAGCTGGTTTTCCTGGAATTCTTTGAAGCTCTCTTAAGCTTTGCACTCATTTCTGTCACTGAACAAATGACTAAAACCTATTTAAATTTGCCAAATGATGACCTATCTGGAAACAAACATGGAAGCTCTTATATGACAAATCAGGTAAAGGTATCTTAGAATTTACAGAGCAAGAAATGGTTTCATTCTGGAACGGTTAAACTGGATCAAAACTATCTTGGGCTTTTGTAACCCTTCAGGAAATAATTTAAGACTTAAGAAAAAACTTAAGACTTCTTTTCACATTTTGGAAGGGTGTATTGTTTAAGTTAGGTCCTTGGTCATGACTCAGGGCGTAGACTCCGTCACAGTAGCGGAGATATCCTAATGAAGGTCAGAGTGCCTACCAACATATTGGGTAGACCGGGAGGCTTAGAATATCTGAGATAATTTTCTTATGAAATGTTTCATTATGCGATATAGTGTTTACAGGAGTGGAGAACCTGTTCCAGAGTGAAGATGCTAAGAAACAGCTCCTGAGTGTACATGAGATGCTAGCTGGTTCTCTTAGGATGGGGCCAGCTCATAGGACAGGCCTGCTGGACACGAGGCTCCATCGCAAGACCTCGGTGGAGCAGGGGCAGTGTCAGCCACCCTACTGAAGGATCCGGCTGCTGGGGCAAACTGACACAAGCTAGTTTTGGGTGGGGGTTTCAGGTTAAGTAGGCTTGGAGGATTTCTGATTTTCAAGCCATTCCTTTGGAGCCACAGGGAGAGTCTTGGGGGCCAATGGAACCTCACAGCTGGGAAACTCTTCAGACCTGCACATACAATGTCACTGTTTGTTGTGTAAAGATTGACTTCCCACAAATCCCCTGATGTGTCTCAAGACTCCTTGTGTGCTGAGAGCTTCATGTTCAACTTCACCTCACAGTCCATCCCACCAACTAGATATGCCTTGTCTAGGTTGAGGATATGACTGATGGCCTCTCCAGGTCAGTGTGGGAGCCTTATCATGGGCCACGGTCTGGCGCTTTGCTCTGAGGGAAGTCAATGTCCACCTTGAATTCGTCCATGATTTCATGGATGGCATCACACGGGCTCTAATAACCAAGTGTGAACGCTGGTCTAGGGGTCATCCTCAGAAACCATCTGACCATGTTCACCTCTGGTTTTTAATATATCATTCCACATGTCCAACAAGGTAAATCCTATTTGGTCCATACAATGGAGTATGACTCAGCTGTGAAATAACTCATGATACAGGATGCAACAAGGATGAATCAAAATAATTCTGCTGGGTGAAAGAAGTCAGACAAAAAAAAAGTGCAATTATATGAAATTCTAGAAAGCGCAAAGTAATCTGTAGTGACAGAAAGCAGATCAGTGGTTGCCTGAGGATAAGGGTGGATTCCCGAGGGGCACAGGAAGCTTGGGGCTGATGGATATGTTTGCTGTCTTGACTGAGCTGATCATGTCACAGGTGTACACATGTCAAAAATCATCAAATAGTAAGTATACCTTATGTGTAGCTTAACTGTAAATTATACTTCATTAAAATTGTGTGTGGGGGCGCCTCAGTGGCTTGGTCAGGTAAGTGTCTGACTTTGGTGCAGGTCATGGTCTTGGGGTCCTGGGATCGAGCCCCGAGCATCAGGCTCCCTGATCAGTGGGGAATCTGCTTTTCCCTCTCTCTCTGCCCCTCCCCCCACTCATGCTCTTGCTCTCTCAATTAAATATTTTTAATTTTTGTTTATTTTTAAAGGTTTATTTATTTGAGAGAGAGAGAGAGCATGAGTGGGGGGAGGGATAGAGAGAGAGGGAGAGAAGCAGACTTCCTGCTGAGCACAGAGCTTGACACGGGGCTCGATCTCACAACCCCGAGATCATGACCTGAACTGACATCAAAAAAAAAATGCTTAACCCACTGAGCCACACAGGTGCCCTAGTAAATAAAATATATATATAAAAAAAAAATTGTGTGTGTGTTTCCATGGAAACCCCAAATCCTCTTATGTGTTTGTCCTTGCTCAGAACATCCAGGACAGGAGTTCAAGTATAGGAACAAGCCAGGAATCGGATCTGCAGGACAGCAGCACCAAGTCATCTTCAAGCAAGCTAGGGCTAATGCTTGATCTTAGCAAAATACGGATATCAGAGGTTCGTATTTACAACTAACTACGTAACAGTAGTTACCTGGTTGCAGTATCAATGGGCTTTGTGTACCTACTGTGTGATCAGCACGCTTCTATATGCTGGTGATCTGCAGTGAGGCAAAAACCTGTCCTCTTGTGGACTTCATATTCCAGTGAGGAGCGGGAGACAAGCGAACGGCAGCGACAGCAAACACTCTTGGGGTGTTTACCAGGTGCCACGCGCTTCCCAGTATGAGCTCATTTAACACCCCAGACCACCTTCGGGTACTGTTACTGTCTTAGGGGGGAGCTGAGGCACAAAAAGGTTAGGTAACTTGCCCACAGTCACGCATCTAGTAAGCAGTGGAGCTGGGGGTCTGTATGCAGCAGTCTGACTCCAGAATTTGCACCCGATCCCACACTGCTACACTTCCTCACGCTTACGAGGTGTAAGTGATGTGGTGAAGAGCGAGGCAGGCTGTGGAGTGACAGGTCTTCTGATGAAGCGACATTCGAGCACACATGAAGTGGGGAAGCAACCATGGGATTATCTGGAGGAAGACTGTTCTGTGCGGAGACCCTGAGGTGGGGGCGTGTTTGGGTTGTTGACAGACAAGTGGCTCAGCAGGTGCAGCCACATTGGAGTGGCCCGGGCACAGGAGCTCAGCGGGGCAGTGGGGCCAGACCAGGAGGGCACCCAGCCATGGTGAGGACCTGGCTTTCTTTCTGAGTGAGACGAGAAGGCCCCAGAGCAGAGAGGGTCAGTAGGCTCTCTAATGGCTTCCCTGTTGACAAACCGGTAAGGAAGCTCTTGGAATGACGTGCAGGTTTGTTGAAGGCTGTGGAGTTTGAGACATGGCCAAGATGATTCTAAGCCTTTTGGCCTGAATGGGAGATATGGTTGTCATTTACTGTGAAGGGAAGGCTGGGGTGGGGGACGGGAGTTTGGGGGCAAAATTAGGGAGCTGCTTTTGGACACGTTAGGCGTAAGGTGCCTGATCAGACATCCAGGTGGTATAGATGGAGACACAAGCCTGGGGTTCAAGGGCAAGATCTAGTTGGAGGCAGAAATGTGGGTGTGAACAGCATATGTCCGGTTAAAAATGCTGTTAATATCAGAACGTAGGTACAGTTAACTATGTAGTTAAACACTTTCCCAACAGACCCAGGGAAGACTTTCAAATCTTTAGTTTCTTGGGAGGAGTGTTTTAGTGGATATAACTGTTATTCATTTCCTTAATTGTACAAATAGCAATATTTTATGCAGGTTAAAATAGTCAAAGGTAGTCTCTTTTGCTTAAAGAGAATGGCCTCATTAATAATTTTCTAATTATTTATAATGTAGCAAATTGGTTTTAGTCCACAATGATGCAGAAGTCATATTTTGCTTTATGATTTTCTTTTATGTAAAAGCCCAAGATCAAGAAGTCTCTAAGTGATGAAAGAATTTCCAAAATGAACTTTAAATCTCCAGGAAAAGGGCTAACCTTTTTTTTATCCCCAAATGGTGAGTATTTTAATGACTGAACTCTGATGTTTGTACACTGTTGCTTATAAATGATAGGTTTATAAAAATGTACAACTGTCTTTTAAAAATGTAATTAGGCTGGTAGTGCTATTTCCAATCCTGCCACCCGCTTGATGGAGTTCACTTTCAAGGCTTGATCCTGCTGAGGTTTTTTTGTCTTTGTTTTTGTATTTTTTCCCCAGTTTTATTGAGCTGTAAGTGACTTACAGCCCGAGTCTCAGGCATACAGCATAATGATTTGACATGCATAAAAAAAAATTTTTTTACCGCAGTATGTTTTGCTAACATCCATCATCTCATATAGATAACCAAAAAAAAATTTTTTTCCTTGTGATGAGAGAACTCTTAGGATCTACTCTTAACAATTTTCGTCTATATCATACAGCATCATCTATATTTGTCACGGTGTAGATTACATCCCTACTACTTATTTATCTTACAACTGGAAATTCATACTTTTTGACCACCTTCATCCGATCCCCCCTACCCCCAACCCCAGCCTCCAGTAACCACAAATCTGGTCTCTTTTTCTACGAGTTTTTTGGTGAATTTTTAAAATTCTACATATAAGTAAGATCATACGGTGTTTGTCTTTCTCCGGCTGGATTATTTCACTTAGCGTAATGCCCTCAAGGCCCAAACACGTTGTCACAAATGGCAGGGTTTCCTCCTTTTTAACAGATAGGGTTCCATCGTATATATTCCACAACTTCTTTATCCATCTATCCATTGGACACTTAGGTTGTTCTGTGTCTTTCTTGTTGTGGGTGATGCTGCAGTGAACACGGGGGTGCAGATATCTCTTCCACAGTGTTTTTGTTTCCTTTGGATATATTCCCAGGTGTAGAATTGCTGGGTTATATGACTCTTCTATTTTGAATTTTCTGAGGGACCTCCACACTGTTTTCAAGAGTGGGTGCACCAGTTTACATTCCCTCCAACAGTGCACGAGGGCCCCCTTTCTCCACATCCTCGCCTGCATTTATTATCCTTTTCAATGCTCACCATTCTGACAGGTGTGAGGTGATCTCTCATTGCAGTTTGATTTGCATTTCCCTGATGATGAGTGATGTTGAGCATTTCTTTTTCATAGACCCATTGGCCACTTGTATATCTTCTTTGAAAAAATGTCTATTCAGATGCTTTGCCTATTTTAATTTTTTTTCTATTGAGTTGTAGTGCTTTATACATTTTGGATTTAAAGCCTTTATCAGATACATGGTTTGCAAATACTTTTTCCTATTCTACAGGTTGTCTTTTCATTTTGTTCATTTCTTTTGCTTAGTTTGATGTCATCCCGCTAGTCTATTTCTGATTATGTTGCTGTGCTTTAGCCAAAAAATCCTTGCTAAGACCCATGTCAAGGAGCTTTTTCTCCTGTTTTCTTCTAGCAGTTTTATGGTTTCTCACCTTACATTTAAATTTTTAAACAATTTCGAGATAATGCGAATGGTGTTACATAGGGGCTTAGTTTCATTTTTTTATGTGTGAATTCCAATTCTCCCAACACCACTTATTGAGGAGACTATCTTCTCTCCATTGAACATTCCTGGCTTCCTTGTCAAGTACTGACTATATACATGGGTTTATTTCTGGGCTCTCGATTCTGTTCCATTGATCTTTGTGTCTGTTTTTATGCCAGTACCATACTGTCAACACTTTTTATACTGTGTAGCCCAGATTCAAGTCAGGAAGTAAAATGCCTCCTGCTTAGTTCTTTCTCAGGATTGCTTTGGCTATTTGGGGTCTTTTGTAGTTCCATATAAATTTTTTGTTTTTTGGCCCAGAGAATTTTATTGTGAAAATGTGGGTCTATGTGTGTGTGTTCCATATAAATTTTAGAGCTGTTTTTTCTACCTGTTAAAAATGCCATTGGAATCTTATAGGGATTGCACCAAATCTATAAATGGCTCTTGGTAGTATTGACATTTTAACAATATTAAATTTTCCAATCCATGAATGTAGGTTACCTTTCCATTTATATTTGTCTTCTTCAATTTCTTTCCATCATGTCTTGAAGTACTGTGAGTAGAGATCTTTTACTTCTTGGCTAAATTTATTCCTAAGCATTTTATTGTTTTGATGGTATTGTAAATGGGATCGTTTTCTTTAATTCTTTTCCTGATAATTCATTGTTAGTGTATAGAAACCCTATTGATTTTTGTATGCTAATTTTATATCTTGCAACTTTCCTGGATTCGTTGATTAGACCTATCAGTTTTTTGGTGGAGTATTCAGGAATTCCTACATATAAAATCATGTCATCTGCAAATAGAGACAATTTTTACCTCTTCCTTTCTAATTATGATATTTTTAATTTCTTTTTCTTGCCTAATTGCTCTGGCTAGGACCTTCCAATACTATATTGAATAAAAGTGGTGAGAGTGGATCCTTCTCTTGTTCCTAATCTGAGAGGAAGATTTTTCAGTCTTTCACTATTGAGTGTGATGTTAGCTGAGGGCTTGTAATATATAGCTTTTATTTTTTTTATTTATTTGAGAGACAGAGCACAAGCAGGGGGAGGGGCAGAGTGAGAGTGAGAGGGACAAGCAGACTCCCTGCCAAGTGGGGAGCCTGATGTGGGGCTCAATCCCAGGACCCTGAGATCATGACCTGAGCTAAAGTCAGACACCAACCAACTGAGCGACCCAGGCACCCCATATAGGCTTTATTATGTTGAGGTACATTCCTTCTGTACCTAATTTTTTAAGGTTTTTTTTTTTAATCATGAATGGATATTGAATTTTGTGAAATGCTTTTTCTGTGTTTACAGAGATGATCATATAGTTTTTTCTTTCATTCTGTTGTGATGTATTACATTGATTGATTTGCATATGTTGAACCATCCTTGTATCCCAGGATAAATCCCAGTTGAACTTGGTGAATGATCCCTTTAATGTTGATTTTGGTGTATTAGTACTTTATTGAATATTTTTGCTCCTATATTCGAAAGGGATACTGGCCTGTAGTTTTCTTTTCTGGTAGTGTCCTTTTCTGGCTTTGGCATCAGTGTAATGCTGACCTCGTAAGATGAATTTGGGAGTTTCCCTCCTCTTCAGTTTTGGGAAGAGTTAGAGAAGGATTTGCATTAATTTTTCAAATATTTGATAAAGTTCAACAGTGAAACTATCTGGTCTTGGGCTTTTCTCTGCTGGGAGATTTTTGGTTACTAATTCAACCTTACTAGTAATTGGTCTGTTCAGATTTTCTGTTTCTTCTTGATTCAGTCTTGGTAGGTTGTATGTTCCTAAGAATTTCTCCATTTTTTCTAGGTTATCCAGTTTATTGGTGTTTTATTGTTCCTAGTAGCCTCTTATGACCTTTATATTTCTGTGGTATTAACCATAATGTTTGTTTTTTTTTATAATGTTGATTTGGTTTTTTTCCTTGATTAGTTTAGCTAAAGGTATCAATATTTTTTTCAAAGAATCTTAGTTTTGTTAATATTTTCTATTTCCTGTTCTCTATTTTGTGTATTTCTGCTCTAATCTTTATTTCCATCCTTCTGCAACTTTTGGATCTAGTTTCTTTTTCTAGTTCCCTAAGGCAGAGTTAAGTTAGTTTATTTGAATTCTTTCTTGTTTCTTAATGTAGATGTTTATTGCTGTGAACTTCTTAGAACCACTTTTGCTGCATCCTGTAAACTTTGGTATATTGTGTTTCTATTTTCATTTGTATCAAGATACTTTTATTTTTTTCTTATGTTCAATTAGCCAACATATAGTATGTCATTAGTTTTTGATGTACAGTTCAACAATTCATTAGTTGCATATAACACCCAGTGCTCATCACAACACGTGCCCTCCTTAATGCCCATCACCCAGTTACCCTGTCCCCTCACCACCCCCTTCTGTAACCCTCAGTTTGTTTCTTGATACTTTTAAACTTCCCCCTTTAATCTTCGATCCATTGGTTGTTCAGGAGAGTGTTAATTTCCATGTGTTTGTGAATTTTCCAGTTTTCCTCCTGTTACTGATTTCTAGTTTTATACCATTGTGGTCAGAGAAGATACTTGATAGGATTTCAATCTTGAATTTGCTAAGACTTGCTTTGTAGTCTAACATATGGTCTATGCTAGAAAATGTTCCGTGTGTGCTTGAGAAGAATGTGTATTCTGTTTTCAGAATGTTCTGTATATGTCTGTTACGTCCATTTGTTCTATAGCATTGATCAAATCTGCTGTTTCCTTAATGATTATCTGTCTGGATGACCTATCCGTTGAGAGTGGGGTATTAAAGTCTCCAACTATTATTATATTGCTTATTTCTCCTTTTTGCTCTGTTTTTGCTTTATTTATTTAGGTACCCTGAAGTTGGCTGCATAAATATAAATGTATCTTCTTGATGGACAGACTTCTTTATCATTATATAATGATCTTGTCTCTTTTTACCATTTTTAGTTTAAAGTCTGTGCTGTCTGGGGATGCCTGGGTGGCTCAGTTAAGCGTCTGCCTTCGGCTCAGGTCATGATCTCAGGTTCCTGGGATCGAGTCCCAGATCAGGCTCCTTGCTTAGTGGGGAGTCAGCTTCTCCCTCTCACTCTGCCCTTCCCCTGCCCACTCACTCACTCTCTCAAATAAAATCTTAAAAAAAAAAATAAAGTATGTGTTGTCTGATATAAGTATAGTTACCCCTGCCTTTTTTAAAATTACCATTTGCTTGAAATATCTTTTCCACCCATTCACTCTCAGTCTGTGTCTTTAAGGTTAAGTGAGTTCTCATAGGCAGCTTATTGTTGGATCTTGTCTTTTTATCCATTCAGCTATTTTATGCCTTTGATTGGAGAATTCAATCTTAATTTACACTTAAATTATTGATAGGTAAGGACTTAACCACTGCTCTTTTTTTAATCGTTTTCTGATTGTTTTGTAGAGCTACTTTTCCTTGTTTTTTATCCTGCTGTGTTTTTTCATGTTTTGATGCCTTTGGTATCAGTATGCTCTTTTAAAAATCATATTCTTTCGTGTTATTACTATAGAT